AAAGACCAAAAAAGTAAATTAAAAAAAATTATAAAACCCCAATTTTAAAAACTAAGCACTAGCAGCACCTTAAAAATGTATGTTAAGCACAAATATGTAACCATGCAAGAGCACACTATTAAGAAATTACTGGTGTCCTGGCCAGTCTGGCTCAGTGGTAGAGCGTCGGCCTGGGGACCAATGAATCGCGGGTCTTGTGGGAGGCAACTAGTCGATGTGTCCCTCTCACGTCAATGTTTCTGCCCCTCCCCCCCACTCTATCTGAAGATAAATGGAAAAATAACCTTGGGTGAGGATTAAAAAAATAATAATAATTTTTTTAAAAAAAGAAATTACTGGCTAAAGGACAGGTGAGGGATGGTTCAACCTATCAACATGGTTCAACATCTCATGGGAAAATTGTTATTTAAAGGAATGGAAGTAGTCATGTGATAACACTGTGGGAGATACTGTTTTAGTCTTAAAAGGACAGATGAGAAAATTAGATACTATAAAGGAAAAAACAAGAGTGAATGTGATCATCTGCATTCTTGGTCACTGGGACTCATTGGTGATGCAGGACCCAAAACAGGAGAAGGCAGTTTGGGGTGGACCGTAATTTATGTGGCTGAACAGGTGTGCGAGTTGGACATGGTGCTGAGTGCTTTTTCATGTATCATTTCATCCTTACAACAGCCCTTCAGGTAAATCCAAGTACATATCGTGTTCATTTTATGGGTGGGGAAACGGAGGCACGGAGGGTGAAGCTCCTTCGCCAAGCTTCCCTGCTCGAGGGCGGCAGGGCTGGTGCAGTACCCTTGTGCAGGCTCGCGTGCATGCAGCCTCTCGTGCTTCCCCGGTAGGCTTGTTTGCTCTCTAGCTCACTGATTTACTCACCGTGTACTGAAGGAAAAGCTGCTGTATGCTGGTCGGTATTCTGGCTCCTGGGTGTGCAGCAGTGGACATAACAGTCGGACCTCCTGCTGCTCATGTCTGTTGGGGCAGAGCTGGTTGGCAGGAGGTAGGGCGGGAAAGGCCATGGTGTTCTCCTGCCCAAACCCTGTGAAGTGGCCTCAAATGCCCTGGCAGGGACGGGAGCTCTGGTCTGAGAGGTGAAGCCATTTGCCCAAGGCCAAGGTGCCTGGAACTATGGCAGCGAGGATTCCAGCCCAGGCCGGTGTGGCTGCCTCAGCCCATGAGCTCGGGAGGAGGACTTGCCTCCTCAAGGTTTTACGTAGAGAGGGGCAGAGTTGCTTTTGCTTGCCCTTGCTCTCAACGAGGGACCAGGAATGGAAGTCAGTTGCCCCTGCCTGGCAGAAGTGGGGTTGAGCACAAAGGTAGGGCCGGTGGGCCTCCTGAGTTGGTGTAAGTGAGGGGCCAGCTCAGTCGTTGGGAGGCAGGGTGCGAGGAGCTCTGATGAGCCTGGTCAAGGAGGTGGATGGATGACCCCTAGCTTTGCCCCTCTGACCTCCTGACCTCCAGCTGCCCACATCTCCTTGGGGACCAGAAAGAGGAAGGGGAAGGCCTGCCTCTGCCCTCCTCCTGCCGCTATGGCTCTGTGCGGAAGGGTGGAGCAGTGTCTGGCTGTGTGAGGCCAGTGGTTTTCAAACCTTCTCTGGTCTCAGGACCCTTTGTTCAAAGCGAGTGTTCCCTGGGAGCCCCACATCCACCAGGCAGCCTTCTGAGAGACACGTAGGACCCTCTGAACAGAGACTGGAAATCCCGGATCTGCCTTTGCCGCCATGGCTGGGCCAGGGCAGAACCCTGGCCCTCGTCTTCCCATCCAGCTCCCTGGTCACTGCATCCAGCCGCCTTCCTTGACCGTCTACATGCAGAACATTCTGCTCACGAAGCAAACTACAGACTTCTGTGTGTGACGCAGAATCCACCTTTGTGATCTCTAAAGCCACGCAGATTAAGGAATTATAAATTTAAAATAACATTGAATGTCCACAGCTCTTACTGACAAATGATTTTGGGAACAAAGTCCTTAGTTTTTTTGTGTTTTTTTTTTTCTCCTCTTTACTTAAAACATTACTCATTGAGAGGTAATGTATTAAAAGAAAAATGTTTTGGGTTTTTTAAAGTACCTAACTCTTTAGGCAGGTGTGTCTCTTGACTAAGTCAGCCAGCAATCCTCTGAGTGGCCTTCTTTTTTCACGTACCCACCCATAATCTTTTTTAATTTTGATGGTCAGGATCATGAGGAAGCGCAACATCGTAACTGGTAGTTAGCTTGCCACACGTCCGCTTATCTCCCCCCCTTGGAAGCCAAGTGCAGGAAGCAGGCAATCTGTCTGGTTTCATATCTTGGTCACAGAATCTCCTGGTGGCTGGTGTCTTATCGGCACAGCAGGTCTCTTGGCCTGTCAGTACCCTCCCTGAAGCACCCTAGGAAGATACTGAACCAAGTGGGTCATGTCCTTTTTTCAGAGCAACCCATTGGGCAGCATTACAGAATCTACGGATGAACCCAGAGACCAAGGGGAGGAAATAAATAAAGCCTGAAAAAGAAATGAAGACATATTCTTATAACCTTTAACTAAAAATCTGAAATAAAAAAAAAGGTCTTAGAGTCACATGGCAAAATGCTGCACACATAAATATACATGTGTACATGCCCACACACAAATATACACACTCATATGTCCTACACACACAAATGTGTATATGTTTACACAGGTACATGTATATATGTGCACACATAAACACACATTTATGTCCAGACAGATGCACCCACTTGTGTATAGCCTGCACATGTGAAGCTGTATGTACACATGCATGTATTTACACAGTCACTGCATGCAAACATGCCCTCTGAGAGAACGAAGCATCCCCGGGTGCAGCTGGTCTCTGGTGTCTGCTGTCTGTCGAGTCTTGCTGCGGTCGCTGTCGGGAAGCGCCGTGATGGGAAGGGTTTCTGCTGGCACGGGCAGCAGTTTCCTTCTGTGGGCCCCTCACTTGCCTCATTGAACAGCCTGCCGGGGCCAGTGAAGGCTGTCGGAGCCTGCTCTGGGTCCCCACTCCCATGCTCCCTGTGGGTAGGCTCCTGATGGACGGGTGGGACAGGGACCCCAGACCACCTCGAGCCTGTTCACAGTGCCTGGTGCCTGGTAGGTGCAGTCCATTTCAGCTGTTCAGCCAGAATCTGCCCCCCCTTTCCTGAGGTGGGAGGGTGCGTGGTGGTGGGGAGAGGAATTCTTCGTGCTTGGTCTCCCTCTGCCAGGAGTCACAAATGTGCGTGTGTTTGTGTGCATGTGTGCTCCAGGGGTACCCTCCTCCCCTTTTGTCCCCCAGAGGAATAGCTAGCATTCATGGAGCCATGACTGTGTGCCAGGCATGTGTGCTTCTCAGGTCTGATCTTATGTACTCCACTCCACAACCCTGCGAGTTAGTGCTAATACCAAGCTCTTTTACAAATGAGGAAACTGAGGCAGAGAGCAGTTGTGTGTCATCACTAGTACTCCCCGAGTTCCCAATGTCTGTGGAAGGCTTCTTTTCATCACAGTGTAGTCTGCGGGGTAGAGCCTCTTGCTGTGCAGGAGAATTTTCTGCAGCGATGGGAATGCTCTGTGCTGTCCAGTGTGGTGGCCACTAGCCACATGTGGCCATTGGGCATGTGAAATGTGACTAGTGCTTCTGAGGAGTCCATGTTGATGTTCACTCATTTTAGTTGCCATCCACAGCAAGTGGCCACAGCGCCACACCTGCCATCCGTCCGTGCCTTCTTCGGGAGCTCTCTACAGCCGACGAGGGAGGCCACTCACTTCATGGGTAGTCTGCATCCACTGATGGATTCACAAGGTTTTCCTGAGCCCTGCGGGGTACTAGGCAGTCCAGGTGGTGTGAAAGCATTCGCGGTCCCTATCCGGAGAGCACACTCCCCCTTTCTATTTGAACTGAGACTGGGAAGCAGCTGAATGCCTGTAACAGTCGTGGTGTTTGGAAGGACTCCGAGGTGGGCTCTTACAGTCTGTAGCCCCAGCCAGTCACCCAGTGTGACCAGACCTGCGTACCCACACCTCAGGGAGCCCCCCATTCTCTATCCCCTCCTCGATGTGTGACACCTCCACTCTCTCCCTTTCTACACTCTTCTACCTTTAAAATTTTCGTGCTGTGTTTCATTGTGGTTACAATCACATAGCACCAGACCTACTCTCAGACAACCTCAGCACAGCTCAGCAGTGTTGTGTACACGCATCGTTGCTCAGGAGGCCCCCAGAACTCTTTCCGTCTTGCACAACTGAAACTTTGCACCCATTAAACACTGATTTCCCCTCCTCCCGTCCGTTGGCAACCCTTTGTTTAACTTTCTGTTTCTCTGATTTTGACTACTTTAGGTACTTCACACGGGAGGAATCGAACAGCATGTGGCCTTTTATGTCTGGCTTATTTCACATGGCATGTTGTCCTCCAGGTTTATCCAAACTGTTGCACATGGCATTTCTTTCTTCCATTGTATGGATATACCACATTTTCTTTATCCATTCATCCTCTGATAGGCATCTGGGCTCCCCTCTGTCTTATCTTTTCTTCCTTTGCCTCCCATTTTCCCCAAAACATAATATGTAATTAAAATATCTAGACAATCGCCCTGGCCGGTTGGGTTCAGCGGTTATAGTGTTGGCCCACGGACCAGAGAGTCCCGGGTTCAGTTCCTGCTAAGGGCACGTACCTTGGTTGCGGTTTGTCCCCGGCCCCAGCTGGGGTTGTGTGGGTGGCAGCCACTCGATGTGTCTCTCTCACATCAATGTTTCTCTCTCTCTCTTCCTCCCTCTCTCCCTCCTGCTCTATCTAAAGGTAAATGCAAAAAAAAAATGTCCTCGGGTGAGGATAAAAAAATATATATCTAGAAAATCATTGTGTGAGATGAGGAATGGTTTGTGCTTATTTCATATTTTAAGAGCAGCAAGAGATACTCTCCCCCATCATCGCCCAAATGTACCAAATACTTTTAGCCAAGGTAGATTTTTAATCTAATGAAACCTTCCATTGATTTTTTTAAAATTTTATTTCCCTAGGTCATTGACTTCCCATAGACAAAAGAAATTCCCCTGGTCTGTCAAGGGGGTGACCTTGTTCAGATGGTAGGTTGGACATGCACTGCATTTGGGTAGTGTTTGGGTATGTTGGGTGACAGTAGTTTAGAGAACTTAAGGGTCAATTTTTATGTCCTATAAAAGTAGGGAGGTCAGTGGCCCAGTGTGACATGGCAACCCCTCAGTGACATTGGAGACTCAGGCTCCTGCTGGGTTTCATCCTTAGAGGTCATTGTCACTTGTGAGTTTCCATGATGGTCACCAAAACTCCATCCACCATGCTCATGGTTTGGGCAAGAGGAAGGGAAGCATAAAAGGCAAAAGAGGGGTGCGCCTCCTTCACTGGCCCCCTTAACTGTCTTCCCCGAAAGTGTCGCCCGGGGCTCTGTTTATTTCTCACGAGCCGAGCATGGAAATGAGGCACATTGCTGCCCTGAATGAAGTTGATTCTGATGGAGGGGGTGCAGCAGGCAGCCAGCAGCTGCTCATTCACCTGGTGGTCTTCAGCATTTTCCCTCTTGAGGGTCAGGCCATGGCACGAAGAATTGGGGGCACAGACTCCTTTCACATGGCCTGCCCTTGATTCCAGAGGCATGCGGCTGCCTTGTTTTGCTGCTGGCGCAAGCCAGCTTCCCTTTGTGGGTGCGGACTCTGAATTCTTCCAAAAATAGAGGGAAGGTTGTGTTGTATCTCTGCCTGGTCTCAGCTTCTTTGTGTGTCTGGTCATGGAGAAGTGTGGGATAAAGTAGCTGCTTGTCAGGGCTCCTGGATTGGTCTGTTTTTAAAATTCTTCTATTTAAATGGCTTTTAAAATGTGAAAGGGAAATCAAGCGGCTGGCCCCTTAAAGAAGTCTCTTTCAGATGACAGTTCATCAAACTGCAGTTTAATAAAGACAGTCATTCATAGTGATTAGGCCTTCGTTAAAAAGGATGGGGGAGTTATTGAAGCTTGTCCGCAGAGACTGCGATGGCCCAGATACCCTCGTGTTTGAGCAGAGGTGTAACGTGATCCTCCTGCGCTCGCTGTGGGTCTGCGAAGGAAGAGGCGCAGCTGATGCAGGAACGCAGTAAGGCCTGGCTCCCGAAAGCTGTGCAGCAAGGCGGTTGGGCCTAGCCCTGCTTCTGAGGGCTCAGTGGAGGTGCCAGACATTCCAGGGTTTCACTTCTGAGCCTCTGGAAGCAGAACTTGTAGGCTTTGGCATCCAGGAGCTGGCCTTTGGGGAGATGCAGCTTAGGACCAGGGAAAAGAAGGGACAGAAGAGACTCAGGCCCAGGAGCCAGCCGGCAGCACAGAGGCGGAAATGTCAAGTTCAGATTGCAAGGGAGAGAGAAGGCAGGCTGGACACGCGTTCCACACAGTGTGGGCACCAGTGTCGAGAGACAGATCAGGGTGCAGGACGTGGACCAGGAATGAGCCCACAAAAGCAGCCTCGAGCCCTGGCCAGTTTGGCTCAGCGGTTAGAACGGCGACCTGCGGTCCAGAGAGACATGGGTTCTGTTCCTGCTAAGGGCACATACCTCGGTTGCAGTTTGTCTCTGGTCCTGGTTTGTCGTGTGGGTGGCAGCCACTCGATGTGTCCCTTTCATGTCGATGTTTATCTCTCTCTTTCTTCCTCTCTCTCTCAAATCAATAAGGGGGGGGGGGAGTGTGGTCCTCATCTGTTTAAAACAAAAAAAAAAATTTTGCTACTTACTCTAGGCCAGAGGTTCTCAACCTGAGGGTTGTGACCCCTTTGGGGGTCGAACGACCCTTTCACAGGGGTCACCTAAGACCATTGGAAAACACGTATTTCCAAGGGCGATTCATAACAGTAGCAAAATTACAGTTATGAAGTAGCAACGAAAATAATTTTATGGTTGGGGGTCACCACAACATGAGGAACTGTATTAAAGGGTCACGGCATTAGGAAGGTTGAAAACCACTACTCTAAGAAAATGGCTCACTGTTTGTCTGGCAGGGTCAGGATTGTGAATGAGTTGGCCTCTGGTCCCATGATCCAGACTTGGGGAAGGCTATCAAAGGAGTGAAAGCAAAGGTCCTGTGGCAGGTAAGGAACTTGATATGCCTCAAGCTTTCTCCCTAACCTAACAGCTTCTGTGCGTTTCCTGTGAAGAAAGGAAATAAAGTAGTTTCCTAAACTCAAGGCAAGCAAGAGAGGTAGGAGTGATTAGGGAAGTAGGAAGCACTACAGTTACTAGCATTTAAATTGCTCTCAAACCAGGAGCCATCTTGCTCAAAATGGGCTATCACTTTCTTTAGTATAGCAGTTGAAGATAGTTATATGTTCATCATAGTTAAATTACATTAGGATGGGCAAAGTCTTGCCACGGTAACATGCAACACCAATAGCTAATGTGAGTTAGCTGGAGGCTCTGCCTCACACGTCCTAAATCCGGGACCAAAGCTAAGAAGCCACTATCATCTGGAAAATTGCAGTCACGTTGGTGAAGGAAGAGGGTGCGGCAAATTGAGGAATGCTCTTGAAGCGTTCATCTGGAACCTCCACAAGTACTTCTGCTTACATCTCATTGCCTCGAAGAAGTCACATGGCCAAGGCTACGCTGAAGAGCCTGGGGGCGGGGTGCCCTCCTACCACATGCTGAAAGGAAAAGACCTTGATGCAGTGATGAATAGCATTGCCACCATCGCTCTTTTAATAAAGAATTCTATTTTTACAGAAAAAGGGTCAGGAACTGGGTCATTTGCTAACCCCCAATCCCATTATTTACACTTGGAGAAAGTAGAGATTGCCCATGTAACCTCTGACCATACTCTTTCTCTTAATCTCAGGCACAAAGTCCAAAAGGAAATAAATCTTGCCAAGTCTAACTCATAAAATGATAGGTTGTCAGCTACCCAAATTAGGAAGACAGATTGGAACAGCAGTCTGCTGCTGCTGCAAAGACAGTTTCTGTGTGTTACGCTTCAGGAGTGATTTAAAGGGAGTTGCACCTGGACATGAAGACTTGCTCTGCCTTGTTATGGGCTCTAAAGCAAGTGCAGACCTCGTGGGCTCTTTCGCTTCCTTCGTGACAAACGGTGGGGTTTGGAGTGAAGGCTGGATAGGAGAAGGAGTGCAGTAGTCCACCCTGCAGATTTGTTACTGGGGAATTTCAGGGCAAGTATTCTTTGGGAAAGAATCGAGTTCTTATTCTGTCTTCTGGAAGTTTCTTGTGAGGGAAAAGATTGTCTATTCTTTATCGACTGTACCTTCGGGCATTCTCCCAGTAAATTCCAACGCCAACGTTTATAAATATGTGCATTTGTGAGATTTTAATTAATCCATGCAAATGTATTAAACACCCACTGTGCCAAAAGAACTATGGGGGTTACGATGGGGGGGTACAAAGGTAAACAGGATTTTAAGCTCCTTGAATGCTTTTGAATTTAAGGGGCTCACAGATAAAGTAGGAATACAGGCAGAGTTAGTATCTCTTTCCACCCTGGAGAGGGATGTTCATGGTTCCCCAAGAACTTCCTGTGCCACACGGACAGTTTGGCTTTGCTGTTCTTCCCACCGCTTGAATTAGTGCTGGCCTGTGGCTTGCTCTGACCGGCAGAATCCTGCAGAAGGCTTGCTGTGTGACTTCCAAGACTAGGTCTTGCTCTCTTGGGACAATCCACTGTTATGTAAAGAAGCTCTGGGTCGCTTCCTGGAGGCTGAGAGGCATGGGGAGGGAGAGGCCCAGCTGACAGCCAGCCCACACCACCAGACAAGTGAGCGAGGCCAGCAGACCCAGGCAGCCCAGCTAATCCTACTCGACTGCAAACACATAGATGAGCCCGAACAACACCACGAAGGGTGGGCCACCTGCACAGAGGAGCCCAGCCAATATTGCAGCTCTCAGTGCTTGCTGTTTGGGTGTGGTCACTGTACCCAGTGGTTGATCATTGCCCACCCCTTGCTTGCACTTTCCTTCTGTGACAGCCACACAGACCTTCTGGCCATTCCCCAACATAATGTGATTTTTGGCACCTTCTTGGACATGACCCTTTAGTCCAGAGTGCCTGCCTCTCCTTTCCCTCACTGGAACTTTCCTGTCCTAGCTTCAAGACCCAGGTGCCTCTCCTGGTTCCCCCTGGAGCCCTCTAGACACATCGCTATCATTGGCACTTTCTCCTTTTCCCTGTGGTTGTTTACAGGTTGGTAACTCCCACTGGACTCTGACCTCCTAGGAGAAGAGGCTGTTTCCTCTCCTTCACCGCCTCTTGGGCTCCTCCTCAGATCCTGGCACGCAGTGAGCAGTGCGTTCCACTGAGCGGCAAGGCACGAGGCTGAGCACCACACTGGGAGTCAGTGATGTCCAGTATTGGGTATAACTGGATACCGTACAAACAGTGCTTCTCAACCTTTAACAATGTGCACATGAATCCGATCTTGTTCAAAAGTAGGTTCTGATTTAGTCGATCCGGAGGGCCCGAGGGTCTGCGTTTCTAACAAGGTCCCACAGTCCACACTTTGAGTAACTAGGCCATAGACGATAAGCCAAGTGCCCAAGGATGATGATCAGTAGTGAAATAGGGCCCCACTGTACCTATCTTGGAGATAAATATTACAGTCTTGACAGTTGTGCCCATGGCCACAGAGTATAGAATGACTAATAAAGTGAGCCTGGTCATTTTTAGGGTACTTCAATTGAAGAGAAATGGTAGACAGAGAATGCTTATTAGGAAAGGAATGTTCTAAATAAGTTCAGATTCTTAAAGGATCTACCAAAAAATAGGTGGGGAGAATCGATTATTATAAGTACTATTGCCTATAGAATCTGGCCGATTGTGACAAATACTGAGTACAGAAACAAAATAAACAGAAACGAAAAACCTCTGTAGCCCTATGTTCTGAACAAGAACAAGGATGGGATAGACATACTGGTGTGTTCTTAGGATGAAAGAAAAACAGTGAATGCTAAGGAGCTGTTCATATCAGGCTCTTCTGATCTTCTTTGAAGAGCGCCCTGGACTGCTGGGACAGACATGCGTAGCCGTGGCATCAGAGCATTGCAGCTGGGTGTGTGACAGGTCCTTCCTGGGACGGATCCTGAGGTCA